CACACACACACACACACACACACACACACACACACACACACACATCAAAATGGGTGTGGTGAATCCACCTTTATCGGTGTGGAAGCAGCTGCCCATTCCCTCTTACTGCTTGCTGCCAGTCACGGAAGAAGGGGATGATGTGGCCTGTATTTCCACAATTAAAACATCTCCCAGGTTTCTCCCTTCATCTCTCCTCTTCTTCCACTGTGCTTCTGACATCTTCATAGCTTTCCTGGGCCCTCCTCGCCCTGGATTCAGCACAGGCAACGAGGGGAGAAATTATATCCACCTCCATTAGTGAGAATGTAATTGTTCCCACCTCTTCCTCCTTGGGGGTAGTAGTCGCCTCTGCTTCCTTGAGGGGATCCATAGCCTCTTCCCCCTTGTTGGAAGGTATAATACCCTTCTCTCCCGTGGACTGCAGGTTTATATCCTCCTCTACCACGGCCTGGGATCCACTACCCCGGCTTCTTCCTTGCCCTCCCGTGCAGGTTGCGATAATAGTCAAGTGACTCGAGTCCCCTCCGTTGTGGCATGCTGCGCATCTACACGGGCCTGCAGGCCCCGACCAGACGGAAAATAAGGGCCCTCCAGGCCCTGTGTCGTTTAAGCCTACAAGCCTGAAAACGAGGGCCTACAGGCCCTGTGTCGTTTCAGCATGAAAGCCTGAAAACAGGCCCTGTGTCGTTTCAGCCTGAAAGCCTGAAAACAAGGGCCTACAGGCCCTGTGTCACTTCAGCCTAAAAGCCTGAAAACGAGGGCCATTTGCACGCCCTCATTAAGCCGACCTGCCCTGAAACTTAGGCACCAGACCAGGGTTTTAGCACAGGCCATTTTGGGCGTGTTTTCAAGACAACCTTTGTTTGAACTTCAACGCCAGGGTCTGGCACGTTTTGGCATTGGCAAGAACAGCCTCCTGGACGGGCCAGCACTATATAAGACTGGCCCGCCCTGCAGGTTGCAGGTGGTGGTCACGAGGTAGTTCATAGGGACTTCCCAGGCACTTCATGTGCAGGAGGCAGGAGGCAGTCTTCAGAATTCGGCAGCAGCACTCTGCAGGAGCGCTGCAGTAGTAGTAACTAGCAGTAGTCTCCAGAGCTGGGCACTGTTAGGAGCTTAGAGTAGCATTGGAGAGAGAGAGAGTTCGCGGAGGCCAGGGAGACTTACCTGTGGCGCCATAGCTCCAGCTTCATCTTTGATGTACCTGCAACAAGGCGCCACCTTCACAGGTCATACTTGGCACAAGAGAGAGAGAGAGAGTTCTTCTTCTTCCTCCTCTAAGTCCACCATCTCTCCCTCACCCTCGCGCTATCTGACTTCTCAGTATCTACAGACTACGAGAGAGAGAGAGAGATTCGCGACTTGGAGACTTGACGACATTTGGATTGAGACTCGACATTCGGACCGAGACATTTTGACGAGGGATTATTTGGGACCTATATCGAAGACTTGGTGTTGACGACATTTCCATCTTCCCCCTCTTCTTCGTCTGATCCCCCTCCTCCTCGTCTGTGTATGTTTGGGACTGGCGCATTCTTTCTGTGTGAGCGCCAGGTCCCTTCACACCTTGCGATGATGATGATGTGTGTTTGGTCTGCATTGCGACATTGATTGGGCTGATCATTGGTATTTTAGCCTTCCGCTGCGCTGTCTTGTACTATGTGAGAGAGTTCGGTTCTTGTTCTGGTCTGTACCATTACGATATGCGACAGTTTGACATCGGAGCAGACCTCTCGATCAGAGGATCTGCCCAATCAAGGAACCTGCTTGAGTTATTGATCGATTGATAGCTTGATGATTGATTGATTATTAATCAAGTACGACCCCGTTAAATCTCTGCAAAAAAAAAATATTTCTTTTCTCTCGTAACGAATACCTAAAAATTTCTGATAGCAGCATTTCGTTTTATCTGAAAATTTCTGATATTAGCATTTCGTTTTCACGCAACAAATATCTGAAAATTTCTGATAGTAGCATTTCGTTTCTCTGATATTAGCATCCGAAAATTTCTTGTATTAGCATTTATAGCCGAAAATTTCTGATGTTAGCATCTCGTTTTTCTAGGCATATTAGGATAACGACAGAGGTGGTCATATTCTGGGAAACTGGATTTATTCTTTTCTGAAAATTGAATCTCCATTCTATTTCGCAAAAAAATGGTTTCTGAAAGCCGAAATTTTGCGAAGCCTATCGGCATTTCGTTTGCTAGGCATAATAGGAGGTTGTCATATTCTCGGAAACTGGATTTATTCTTTTCTGAAAATCGCATCTCCATTCTATTTCGTACAATTTTTTTTTTTAGGATCGAAATTTTTTTCTTGAAAGCCGAAATTTTGCGAAGCCTTGCCTAGATTTTACTCATAGAACGCCTCCGTAAATGCCTCGCTGGTATCAAATCGACAGATTTTCACAAAAAAAAAAGGCGGGGGAGTCCTCTTCTTTTATTTTTTTATTTTATTCTGTTGATTAGGACTGGGAGGAAAGTACAGTTTGGTTGGTTACCTTCCTGCGCTCCCCTCCCACCCAACCCTTTGCCTGCATTCCCGGTTGGTAAGTGCCACGTCAGCAGTATTGCCACGTCAGCAGCAGTGCCACGTCACCGGCAGTGCCACGTCACCGGCAATGCCACGTCAACAGGAGTGCCACATCAGCAGCAGTGCCACGTCAGCAGTACTACGCCAGCAGGGCCCCGCCACCATGATGGGTTCATCATTGGGGATGCACACAACAACCAGACAACATTGTGGAAGACCCGGCAACCACCTCAGCATCACGTGAGGGAGATCAGGTGGCCGCCGTCCAGCCACAAAGCAACAGCAACTCCTGGGGAAAAGGGAAGGCAAAAAACGCATCGCCAGCCGGAAATGGACAGCCAGTACCAAATCAGCTTGGGAAACTGAGCTGCGCAAGAGGTGAGGCGACTCCACTTCTCACTCCGCCAGATTCGGCCGTCTTGCTAGCGGCCTCCTACACATCTGGGGAGGAGGCGCATGTTGCAAGTCCTTGGTAATCTTACGAGGATTACGCTGTCCACTTGGTCCCACCATTGGACCAACCACTCCACGTGCAACAATCCACTGCATGCACGGTTTCACCACCATCGACAACCGATTCGGCAGCTTCGCCGCCGACAACTATCGTCGGGGATTCAACGTCATGGTAAAGACTTGAGAGACTCGACCCGTTGACATTCGCGGACTTCCAATGGATGCCCCTTCCCCCAACCGGTCGATTGCCGAAACCGCATTGCAACGTACTCATGGCACAATTGTGGGACTACTTACACACTGCAGTACCAGCTCCGTTGATGGACGCCGGAGTAGAGGTTGTCAACCTTCGCGGCTACCTTGCGAAGGTTGACCGCGAGTTCAAGACACAAGGGTACGACGACATCGACGCGCCATTGTTGTACATACACATTCAGATCCGAGAGGTGACCTGTAGCGCTTTGATCGATTGCGGCGCTACTCGCAACAATAAGAGCCAACACTTCATGGTACGTGTTGGCCTTGGGCCACGCATTCGGACGAAGTCGCAGCCCACTTAAGTCACGTTGGCCGATGGTCACATGGACAAGTCCATCAACCGGTGCATTGATTCCGTCCCCGTGTACTGTGCCCCGCATGCAAGCGAGGTTGTGTCCTTCGGCATTTTGGACACGAAGTTAGCATCTGCACCGCTAATCTACGCCGACTACGAGCGAAGAAGACTAGCTAAGGAAGCTTCACAACATGCCCCTGGACTTTGGTCCCTCCCTCCAACAAGCAGCTTCCCCCTCACAGGTAAGCTCGGTCTTTCAAGGAGGGGGGGGTGTGGCATACTGCGCATCCACACAGGTCTGCAGGCCCCCGACCAGACGGAAAATAAGGGCCATCCAGGCCCTGTGTCGTTTCAGCCTAAATGCCTGAAAACGAGGGCCTACAGGCCTTGTGTTGTTTCAGCTTGAAAGCCTGAAAACGAGGCCCTACAGGCCCTGTGTCGTTTTCAGCCTAAACTGAAAAGAAGGTCCTACAGGCCCTGTGTCGTTTTCAGCCTAAAAACCTGAAAACAAGGGCCTACAGGCCCTGTGTCGTTTCAGCCTGAAAGCCTGAAAACAAAGGCCTACAGACCCTGTGTCGCTTCAGCCTAAAAGCCTAAAAAGAAGGCCATTTGCAGACCCTCATAAAGTCGACCTGCCCTGAAACTTAGGCACCAGACCAGGGTTTTAGCACAGGCCATTTTGGGCCTGTTTTCAAGACAACCTTTGTTTGAACTTCAACGCCAGGGTCTGGCACGTTTTGGCATTGGCAAGAGCAGCCTCCTGGACGGGCCAGCACTATATAAGACTGGCCCGCCCTGCAGGCTGCAGGTAGTCACGAGGTAGTTCATAGGGACTTCCCAGGCACTTCACGTACAGGAGGCAAGAGGCAGTCTTCAGGATTCGGCAGCAGCACTCTGCAGGAGCACTG